TACATATGTGTGAGTAACAAAATTTCAATCGATTATGGGTTCACTCATTTCGACTCGACATTTTATTAACCTATTAGGAGTCATTCAATGCGCAAGTTGGAAAACAATTGCTTTACGACGACGACGGCTTCGTTAAGCAAATTGAACGAGCGTCAATAAAGTGAAAATTGCAACAAGTGAGGCATCGAACAAGTGTTGGTATTTTTTATTATCGGTTTTACGCCACTTCAACGCGTTATGCAAAACGAATTGCTAGTACACGTGCTGCCTTGCCTGCAGTGTTGCCAGAACTTTGCAAAAAAAAACCGGCTAAAAACGGCTAAACTCTTTCAACTAATTTTCACATGTTTTATTTAAATAAATCACAAGTAGAAAGACTATTTCTTGGAGAGAAGTTGCAAATTCAAGCTGGAAAACATTTTGAGCGCAATAATTTGCAATTAGGTGAAACACATGATTGTGGCACATGGTTGGATTTTTTGTCGATTAGTCGCTGTTGCGAATATAATTCCGAAATAAAAGTCTTTTCCGGATAATAAACAAACCGCTTATCCAAATTAAATTGGTATCAAATGAAGGAGGATTTAAATAGCTTTAAAACTGAAATGTCTAAACGAGGAAAACCACATATTGAAAAATATGTCAATAAAAAATGTTAATTAATTACCATAGAACAAACCTTGTGTCCGGTATATGCATTTCTTTAGTATTAAATTATAAAAAAAAAATGTAAATAGAGGTCGTTCGTTTTTTTCTGTTTAAAAGCTATATCAGTAATCTTTCATATGATACCAATTTTTTTTTTAATTTGGATAGGCGGTTTATTTATTATCCAGAAAGAACTTTTATTTCGGAATAATATTCGCAACAACTCTGATTTGAATACATATACAACTTCGTTAAATTTAAAAATTTACAAACTTAAACGATTTTAAAACGAAAAATGCAAGCAAATACTTCTTTACTTAATTAATTTAGTTAATTCCAATAATTTGAAAGGTACTCAGCTGAAAAGAACTGTATTCGTAATCGAAATGTAATCTCAACCAGAGTGAACATAGTAAACCCGACAAAGAAATTGAAACGTACGTTGAAGAAAGTCGGACTTACAAGAAATATACATGTAGATCCTGTTTTTTGCCCCTTTGAAAGAATTTTAAAAATTCTATACAAATTTATTTTGTTTGAAATGCAACCGTGGACACAAGCTTGCAGAAAAACTTGCAAATTTCCGTTCGCGCAGAACTAGGAAGAGAATTTGGGAACACTTTTTCGACTGGATTTTCGATGAACAAATCTATTATCTTCCCTACAAGAAAAGTACTTTTCAGACTGGCCGATTCTCAATACACACAAATAAAACCAAATACACATAAAAAACGCTGTAAAAATGTCCCCCGGAAAACGACTAAAATGGTAACACTGCTTGCCTGGCTGCTTGGCTGCCTGCCTGACTTGGAGCTATTAGCCACTTGTAATTGATTGCTTTATGTTTTTTTGCCATTTTACCGATTGTGTCGGTTGGTTATTGCCGTTTGCTGACTTAAATTGGAACAACGAAGCAAAAGAACTTATTTAACTATTAATTTATTGCAGCGCATAAATGCACTGATTACATATTTATAAGTGCATATACATATGCGTGTGTGTAGATATGTACATACATATCATATTTGGAGACCCTAAACGACCAGAATAAGTAGGTCAGTATGGTTTTTGATTTCTTTCATTTAGGAAATTTAAAACTACTTGTTCTAGTAACATTTTAGAAAAACACTAGATGCAATAAAATGATAAAGAATATAAAGTTGGCTTAGTGTGTAGTTCTTGAATTTTCCAAAAATACCTTTATATGGAAACTGGGCGTGGTTACAGTCCGATTTCGTCTTTCGCCGATTTCGTTTATATTGTTTTCTTGATTTTTTTTTGGACTTAGCACATTTGCATACAACTGCATAACAACAAGTAAGAAAGACATTACGGTAAATTTTTTTGTGATGATATATTTTGAGTTGTGCTATCTTACTGCATTAAAATCTCAATTTTCTTAAAAAGTGGACTTAGCACGTTTGCACACTAAGCCAACAATATGTAAGTCAGAAAGCTTCAACCAGCGATGACGCTGACATTAGCGGGCGAATTAATACAGGAACGCGCGCTTTCCACAAACAAATTTGCAATTGTCGCATGCGTCAACAACGAATGAAGCCACAACCATTAGTTACAGTTACTACAAGTTGCCAGACGCCAATACAGCCGTTTGGCAACGTGACATCAATGCAAATGAAAATGGTTGTGGTGGTGGTGAGGCAGAAGGAGTAGCGGATAGTAGTGCCATGTGCTAATTGCATTCATGCAACTTTTATACATACATACATACATATATACCATGTAAATACAAATACATTCACATGAGGGTGGCCCTAAATTTTTTTTCTAGAAAATAGCAATAAACCCCACGTACCATGAACCATCTCATTTTTTCCATGCAAAAAGCTTGGGAAAATTTTCGATTTTCGAAAAATCAAAATCTTTAGCCAGTGTTTAGAAAACAAAAAGTTAACATTAAACTACTGGAATTGAAAAATAATGGCCACCCGGACTCCGTAATGCGCCACTCCAAATTTCACAGAAGGTGTAACTTTGGGGTGATGCTTTGCGGGGTCCAAGTGCTCATATTTTAAAGCTATATAGGTTAAATAAGTTGGAAGAGAGTCGTGTTTAAATCCTAGTAGTTTTATGTTAACTTTTTTAAAATCTTGACTGGTGACCTTAGTTTTTCGAAAACATAAAGTTTTCCCATGCATTTTTACATTGAAAAATTGAGGTGCTAGGTGGCACGTCTTAATATTAAAATTTTCTAAAATAAAAAAAAAAACTTAATTTCTTTTTTGGTATTAGAATGAATTTTTCCACTAAAAAAATGTATTCTTTGGCCACCCTATTTCATATACATATATAGGTATAAATACTACTATGTATTTATTGTAAATATTATTTTACTTATCTACATTTAGTTTTTCTTCATTTATTACTGATTATTAGCTATTTATTCTAATTAACAATTTTGGTGCGAATGTATGCAAAGATAAATGTAGGTATGCATTTCAATATTGTTACTTAAGTGCAATTGTTATTAGCTTGTTTTTTTATTTATTTCCCGTTTACCATTTATTTTCACATTTAATGCCATTTTAATATGCGCTCGTATAAACGCAGTTTATTACAATTGCATTTATTTATATTCAGGTCATTTGCATTTGCACTAGGCAGCTATGTATGTATGTATGTAGCTGAGTGAGTTACTTGTTCCTTCGTACACTTTTTGTTTCTTTCTCATGAAAAAGCTTTGTTCTGCTATTACTTAATCAGTTTTTACATTCGTTTCCACTATAAGTAGTTACAATTGATATGACTATTCGCTTATTTTTGCAAATTTCCATTCCATTATCGCAGTTTAGTAGCAACTTGGTTATATGCAAATCGTAATGATAGTAATTAAATGCATAAAGTGTTACACGGGTACATTTTTGTCGTCCTAACTTCTCGATTCGTCTGGAAGGAAATGAAAACTGTTTACCCAAAACTTTAGGGACTTTCGAAAAAATACTGTCATTTATTTGGTACCTCGGTGTCTGATTAGTGTTGGTTTTTTTCAAAAGCTGGTGCTACATCTACAACAACGAAACGCTTGTCAGACTTTTGTTTTAGCAAACTTCGTTAAATTATAAATAATTATCGCTGCTAAAAATACTCGTCTTATTTTTATTTAAGGCTAATTAACAAGAGAATTAGAAACTTTTTATTCAAAAGTGTTTTCGTGAATACTCACTGTAAAAGAGTGCCCATAAAAATTCGCTTAATCGATTGATTCGCAATAATTGCTCAGGGTTGGGTTACCCAGTACCATTTGGAAAAACTGGATTCTAGCTGCTCGCTGTCCTTTTACCAGGGTTTTTTCGTGGATAACTTCTTGTCAAGAAATCGTTAATTCACTATTTCACTTAGGGCCAAATTCACAGTGCGTAGTTAACTCAGAATCGGCAATTAACTACAGATTTTTGTACTGGACCTAAGTAGAAAATTTGTGTTTTATAGTGTAAATTCTTATGTATAAAACACACTCACATCTCACTTAACGAATGCCACTTTTCCATATACTCGTACAAAGGAGATTTTTTTCTATTAATTCATATTCACTTAAGTGCTTTTAGCAAAAAAAATAATAAAAATAAAACTATGCAGTCAATTTAATCAATTGAAATCTAAAGTCAAATTAGCAACAACACAATGCCAATCTCGGACAACAAATTGAAATTTAACAAGTGTTACAATAACAAGCAGTTTTGCAACAACAACAAGGCGAACAGTAAATATTGCAAAAACCGCAGCTGCATATCAAATGGCAAGCCGCAACGCAATTAGACAGAATCGCTGGCAGTTGTTGTTGCTGCTGCGGCTGTTTATGTCACTTGTTATTGCTTTTGTTGTTGCTGTTGCTACTAAACGCCGTTTAAGTGCGTCGAATTGGCAATAAACTCAAAAGCATTCAACAGGCACTTAAAGGTGCGAGCACTAACAACAATTAGACGAGGCTACAGTGACAACAAAAACAACCGTCACCAATGGAATGTACCCTCAACACCTACGGATATGCATATGTACAATGTGCATACCTATACAAAAGCAACATTGGCAAACAGCACTGCAAGCAAATGAGGTTACAAATTGACTGACAGCATCGCTTGACAGACAGCATTGTTGCCTTGCCGCCTGCCAATTATGCAGCTATGTAGCGAGACACTCCAAGAAGGCAGTCATTTTTAGCTATAAACATTTGCATATTTCCACTGTCGATAACATAAATAAATAGGATTTGATTAATGCACATACGTGCATACATACTTACGTGTATATATGTATGCATACAAAACCATGCCTTTAAGTAGAAAATCACATTTGTCTATTCGTTTTGACTTTCCTTCTTCCCTTCATTTCAGATGCCAATCACACAGGCAAATCGAGTGTTAAGAAGAAAAAACTTGCAGCCGCTGCTTCTGCGACAAGCGCAACGTCGCTTACATCAACGCCGTCGACTGTTACGACGCCAGCGTCTTCATCATCGATGCCAGTGCCGGAAGTGAGTCCTACCGGCAGCAGCGATAGCGCAATGCGCGACAAGCAATTTCCCACAGTTAGTACACCACCCTCCTCCGCCACGGCTGCCGTAGAAACTACCGAAGACGATTCGGATTCGGGTTCGACGGATGCGCGCCGAAAAAAGAAGGCACGCACAACCTTTACTGGACGTCAAATATTCGAATTGGAGAAGCAATTTGAGATAAAGAAATATCTCAGTTCGAGTGAACGCACAGAAATGGCTAAATTGCTGAATGTAACTGAGACGCAGGTGAGTGTGGGTGGGGGTGAAAACAATGTTGAGATCGCTATACATACATACGCAAGTATGTAGTTCGTAGAATAATTCTTAAGAACAAAATAAAGGCTTTGATATCCAAATGTGTACTAGGATTCATCGTGATTGACAAGCCTTAGTGGCTGGGACGAAAATTTTGATGATGCTAAACTCTTCTCGGAGTAAACTTTTAAATAAGAAAGAGTAAATTCTAGCGTAGTTTTTTTTAGACCTTCAGATGCGTTTACTAGATAAATAAATACATATACAGTGACTCATACAAGTGATCACGTGCTAGTTTTTTTTTAAATATTCATAAAGTTTTCGAGCTAATTTGTTTTTTTTTTCTATAAAAATATAAAAATATTGTCCATGCTTTAACCAAAAATACGCTTATGATAAAATTTTGGAAAATAGGCGTGGCACCGCCCAAATTAATCATGTCAGCTTTTTTTATTTTTAATAAAAAAATTAAAAAAATAAAACTTTAAACTTTAACAGAAGAAATATTAAAAAAATAACAGGTTCTGGTCCAAATTTTTGCATTTGTACTAAAACTGTTACAAAAAAAATCAAGGTACTCAAGAAGAAAATCGATGGATAAATACGAAATAATGAGTGGTCAAATAAAAATGCGCAAGATTATTTTTATGAAAATTGAGCACGAAAGAATGTTACTCATACGCCGCGTTCACCTAAGTAACACGCTTTTCTGCTCATATTTCATACAAAAAATCTTTGCGCATTTTCATTTGACCACTCATTATTTCCTATTTATTCATCGATTTTCCTTATGAGTATTTTCATTTTTTTTTTTTTTTGTAACAAGATTTAGTACAAATGCAAAAATTTGGCATAGAACCTGTTTTTTTTTTAATTTTTCTTCTGTTAAAGTTTGATTTTTTTTTTAATTTTTTCATAAAAAAAAAAAATCTGGAATGCTTAACTAATTTGTCAGAAACTATAAGCCCTATCGGAAAGTGATGTATATACTGTTTATGGAAAATTTCATTGGCTTTCATTTGCTGTATTTTATATTAAGATTTTTAAATTGGTTCGTAAGATATAAGTGATTGAAAGGAACCAATTTTTGCTTTAAGGTGAATAACGGTAAATTGCAAACATCTCGAAAACGTACCCATAGAAAAAAAAATTAACCAGAATTTCGGAATCACCGAGCAGTTCTACATAGAAATTGGAAAGTGGCGTCTGGAGAACAAAAAAACAAATTAAAATTTGTGATCCAGTGTAAGCAATACTGTGATTATAAAACGGGTTGGTAACGAACGCGATTTGAAAGCGATTATATTTGGCAAGCGTGCTTTAAGAAGAAGAAGAGGATTGCCTATCATTCTCAAACGCTACTTAACCTCAAAAACAGAAATGAAACATTTGAATTACACATGACGCTTCAACAATTTTGCTATACAAGCAAATAGTAATAATTACAAATTACAACTCAATTTTCAAAAACATGGGCATTCGTCACGCCCCATAAACGGTAGCTACATTTATACATACTTAGCTATGTATATAAATGAGTCTGCTTACATCAGTTAAGCTTCAAAGTCATACTCAATTAGCTGTTGTTTACACACATTTTACACACAAATTTTGCACACGCTTTTGATTTCTTACTTAAAATTTGGTAGCAAATATTTAACTAATTAAACTAAGCAAATTTTCATTGAATACTCGACACATACATACGTGCGTCTATATGCATGTATGTACATATGTATGTGTGTGCGTATGTAGACTTACAACGTTATTTGCATGTTGGCCTTATCGACCTTCCTGTAAGCATTACATACATGTACTATGTATGAATATTTAGGCATCACTTAAGTAGACAAGCAAAATCGGTAGCTGGCAGCGTTGAACTGCATGCAGGCGGCAACAGAGCGAGCAAAGTTCACCGCAAGCGTTTGTTTGCCACCAACAACAGACGCAAAAGCTGAAAATATCCTTTGTTGATGTAATTAAATTGTTATTGCTGTAGCAAAATACGCACGTACGCACGCACGCAGAGAAACAATAACTCGGCTTATAGCTTACACCTAAACATAGATTGATACCCATACATACATGTGTATGTATGTATGTATGTACGCATTGTTTGTTCCGCCCATACTCCGGCATAGTTGAAATTGTTGGCAAGAGTTTTAGCTCTAATATGCTGTTCAATATAATTAAGTGCCATGCCAACATACAAGTAGAGCACCAGAAATATTTACATACAAACAAGCACAACGGTTCGTGGTGCCAAGCATATTCAGTGTGTGTGTGCGTATGCTAAAGCTAAGGATTTGTAAATGCAATGCACATCCTGTACGATAATGCAGTGAGCAGATGCAATTATGCCAAGCCACTCAACCACTCAGCTAGGCAAGCAGTCAAGTAGACAGGCATTCAAGCTTGTAATAACATTGTATGTTATGCCAGTATGGGTGTCTGTGTGTGTATGGGGGTATGTGAATGCAAGTGCATCTGTACATACGCATGATAAATTGCTATCGGGCTTATGATATTAATAATAGACTAACACTTGTGCTTTCAGCACACGCGCACGCGTACGTACAAAAACAAACCAACATAGTAATCAAGTCATGGCAAACACCAACAAAGTGAAGATTTCAATAAGCGCCCACCTTCAAATCAACTAACGCATGCATGCAAGTATGTACATATGTATGTATGTATGCGTTTGGCTACCTATAACTATACATACATATATAGCTTGCACATATGCTGATTTGTATATTTGCATATAATTCAAACGCGCGCGCCTACCATATGTATTGTATATACATATATAAGTAAATGGATGTAAGTGTTTCGACTGGCTTATGTGTGACATTAATTGGCTCGATTGAATATGTCATGGCATTAAATAAGTAGCGACACATACATATATGTACATACATACTACAAACATTGTACATGCCAATAAATTTGCATATGCATTAAGTGCCGTTATTTGCTTATTTAGCAAATCGATACACAAAAATCCACTTAATGTTGTACAGTTGCCGCCAATAATATTAAAATAATTAAGCAATACAACGTTGCTAATAATATTCATTTGTACAAATACATGTACACATGCATACATACATACATCCATACATATGTATGCGGATGCTAAAAGTGGGTGTTTATTTGCATAGAAACACAAATTAAGTTGTGTTGTGACCTGGGGTGTATGAGTAATAAATAATTTCATTGCAATAAATTATTATAAAATCAGTAAATCATGCGTGAAACTTGCCGAAGTAGTGGAATGACCCTAAATGGCTTAATGCCATAGGCATGCTAATTAAATTGCGCATAACATATTAATATTTTAATTGAGCTAACAAAGACTAACTTGTACATATTCAAATACATACCAATGTATGTATGTATTTTGTATATTCAATTAAAATTTAATATCCATTATTCGATAAATATGTATGTACGTATGCGATTAATTTAGAAAATCCAAAATATGAACGGCACTTAGTATTTCATTTTTTTTTCGGCTATTGGAGGAAGTGCTGTTTATTGATTAGCTGCTTATCCGGGTTTGTTTTCGCTGTTTCGTGGCAAATGATTGAATGCCAAAAATTCACTGCTTAATAATAATTGCCAGATTAAACTACAGAAGTGCGCGCTTGAACCCATAGTAGCCATAGCACTATTGACTATTAGGTACTTATACATACAGCGGTCGAAATAATTATAGCGGCACCACATTTTGACAAGTTTTACCAAATTATTCGTTTTGTTATTTGGTTTTGCTTATTTTTTATAAAAATTAAGTTCATTCGCAAATCCAAGTTTCAAACTTTGTGCAATATTTCCTATAAAGATTCTGAGTATATAGCCGATTGAACAAAGTACAAGTCTAAAATGGCTAAAAATTACGGTTGATTTTTTAATAAAAATTTGATCATAAAAGGTTAAAAAATAACACTTAGAAAAAGACCAATATAAGAATGAAAATAAAGGTGACTACGTACATTGATAAGGAAAAGGATAAAGGCAAAGGTAAAAAAAAACAAAAAAAAACAAAGATGCGTAAAGATAAAGGCAAAAATGAAGATCAAGGTTAATTTAAACACTTTACTCATATATGTATATACGGGCAAAGGTGAAGGGGAATATGTAGATGAAGAAAATGATAAACATAAAAGTAAAGACAAGAGGAGGATGAGGGTACCGATAAAAGCAAAGATGAAAATAGGGGAAGAAAGATTCAAATTAAGGTAATTAAAGAGGAAAGGATACAGAGACTCAATCTGGGAACTATTTTGGGATTTAAGAGATTTTCGGCATTCTCAAGACTTATCGATAAAATAATCGATATTTTGTCGGTTTGTGATCGATTGATTTTGCTATCGATATTGTTATTTATTTTGCTATCGATATTTTCGGAGCTTATCGATATAATGATCGATATTTTTATCGACTTTGTTATCGATATTTGTCGCTTTTGTTTTCGTTATTTTTATTTTGTTATCGATATATGCGGAAGTATATAACCTAAATAAAATTCGTCCAAAGGCCCTCACTAGGTTCCTTAATGATACGTTAATCGAAGAATTGTTATATGATAAACCTCTGTTTGGGATTTATTGCAATAGATCTTGCTTGGTAGCAGTAATTACGTGACATACTCACTTTTCAAAACGACAATAGAATCTATGCAGAAATATCCTTTTCTATAGGACTTGCTGCCGCTTCAACCAAGTTAAGAATTTAGAATTGCGTTTTAAAAATTTGGGTAGGAGGTGGCATCCGAAATACAAGTATCGAATTCCATTTAAACATCCATGTCAAATCCACCAATGGTTGGAATCCATCACTTTCGATTAGGATGAATTTTTGCCAGAATTTTTCATTATCATGTAATGAAGATCTGCCAAAGGAAAATTTTATTTTCGAAAGTTCAACAATTCACAGTTCCCCGGATTTAAAATTTATTTTGTGGTTATACAAAAGGTTATTAC